TTATTGAAGAGATACAATAACAAGCAATGGGTATGAAGAGCTGAAATGCACTAAGGTCTGCAGAAGATATATATCATCAGGAACATACCTACAGAGTCCCACAGCAAAATTATCTATTTTGTCCTCAGTTCATCCCCAGTCTATTCTAGCATCTCATATCTAAAGGGCAGCAATAATTACCACCAGGATATTTTACATAACATTAAATTGAAATTAATTGTAAATGCTACTACACACAATAACTCAAGTACTATATAACCATAACACAAACTTCTTTAAACTAATTTTTTTACAGAACTACAAACTTCAACTGTGTTATGAGGTTTTAGCAGCTGTGTGGGCTACTATGGTTAAAGTTAAACCAATGTTTGTCAGATTTAAATATTAGGCTAGGTCTTAGGCAGCGTTCTTGATAGATCTACACAAGTTAAGGAAATATTTCAATAAATCTGTAAAGCACATTTAGGGGTCTGTTTATAAACAATTTGCAGAGCTATTCAACCTGTGAATCTCTGTTAAGTTCTTAAAATTAACATTCTTAGTATATTTTCTTTTCAGGTCGAATGTAATGTCATACTGCATTATGGCCACTAGATGAAGCTGAGGAGCATAGGACATGAGTATTGGTTTATAAATAGATCCTTTATAGTTTTGGAATAAACAACAGACTGTAAGGAAGGAAGGCAACCATTGAAGATCTTGTTCTTGCTGTTTCTTTGTTTTTGTTTTTTTTAATGAAGGTATGAATACACTGTAAATGCTTTAAATCCTTTCCTCCAGAGAAAACAAAAAAACTTATGTCCCTGTTCTATGCATAGTTACTTTCCCTACATATTCTCTACCACCCTATTTGCCTCCCAGAGCCCTGTGCATAATGCCCTGTGTAACTCTGGTATTGGTCCTTGTTGGAACTTGCACAAGACACCATACCCCACAGGACAGTGCTTGGGGCCAGTGTTTGGCTAACTCAGGTGCCAAGCACTACAATGTGGGAAAAGAGAGTCACATGCTCTTTAATACATGAAAGTACCAGGTATTTCAATAAGCTCTAGGTACCACATGAGGGGAGGGGTAGCATGGCAAAGTATCAGGAGTATTAAGAGTAAAATCATTTATACATTTGAGCCTATATTATGCATTTCATTAGGACAATAAGTGAGCAATATTATTGTTATGACAGTTGGATGGATGATTAATTCAATATATATATTCTAATGCATTCTAATTTCTTTTGACAGCTCCATTTATTCCTCTAAGTGCAGACAGCTTTGTGAAGTTTGATGCATATGGAGATGGGCTTGGTCTGTACAATGTATTCAATTTCCAGTACAACAATGGAAAATACTCCTATTTAAAAATAGGCCAGTGGGCGGAAACCCTGTCCTTGGATTTTGACTTGATACAGTGGTCGAAGAGTGTGGTACCAACTTCACAGTGCAGTGACCCATGTGCACCAAATGAAATGAAAAGTATGCAACCAGGAGATGTTTGCTGCTGGATCTGCATTCCATGCGAAACCTATGAGTACCTGGCTGATGAGTTCACATGCATTGACTGCGGTCCAGGGCGGTGGCCAACCTCAGATCTAACTGGTTGTTATGACCTACCAGAAGACTACATTAAATGGGAAGATGCATGGGCTATTGGACCGGTGACAATTGCCTTTCTTGGTTTTATTTGTACATTCCTGGTCGGAGGAGTTTTTGTCAAGAATAACAGTACTCCTTTAGTAAAAGCTTCAGGGAGAGAACTTTGCTATATTCTACTGATTGGCGTATTCATGTGCTACTGTATGACATTTTTCTTCATAGCCAAACCTTCCCCAGTCATTTGTGCTCTACGCCGATTAGGACTTGGGACCTCTTTTGTAGTTTGCTACTCAGCTCTTCTAACAAAGACAAATCGCATTGCCAGAATTTTCAGTGGTGTAACAGAAGGTGCTCAAAGACCTAAATTCATCAGCCCCAAGTCTCAAGTCATCATATGTCTAAGTCTCATCTCAATTCAGATTGTCATTGTGTCTGTGTGGTTAATGTTGGAGTATCCTGGAACGAGGCGGTTTACACTTCCTGAGAAGAGAGAAACTGTCATACTGAAATGTAATGTCAAGGATTCCAGTATGTTGATTTCTTTAACATACGATGTTGTTCTAGTAATATTGTGTACAGTGTATGCCTTCAAAACAAGAAAATGCCCAGAAAATTTCAATGAAGCCAAGTTTATTGGATTTACAATGTATACAACTTGTATAATCTGGCTTGCATTCCTTCCCATATTCTATGTGACATCAAGTGACTACAGGGTAAGTTCATTATATGTTAAATTGTTTTGTTATGGCCTTAAATATGATGCCCTAAATATACCTATGATCAAAAAGGGAATATCTAGAATGTTCAACTTCGTAAAAGAGATTAATACAATATAAACAATATGTGTGTTAATTTTTTAAAACAATGTTTGTTTCTATGTATTTTTATTGTTTTAGACACAAGACAGAAATCAAAATCAACAAGAAAGATAAAATCACACAAACGATACAGTAATAACAAAAAGGAAATACAAAGAAACATAAAATAGGGTGGATCTTAGGTACCATATGTAAAAGATAATTGGACCCACGGATGGGTCAATCCAGGATACATAGCTGCGGGGGGGACGGACTGCCACAGGAATCAGGAGGGAGGAGGAGAAAGCCCAACTCCGGCCCTCCCCCTTTCCTCAGAGCACCCTGTACCTTTATATTATATACATAACTGGTCCAGTCATGTGACATCCCAGTTCCTCTTCCTCTTCTTTTTCATCCAGCTGTGGGTAGGTTCTGAATGCTGTAGACAATGGCACCATGTAATGATCTCTGGAGCATTCTCTGTGAGTCTGGAGGGGTAGGTCTTTTATGAGCTGTGCTCAGAGAAAGTGAGTTAAAAAATGCTAGGGGTCATTTAAACCAGAAGAGCAGTACAATCTGGTGGTCCTACTGCAGGGGAAAGCACTGGAGGTAAGGTAAGTATTTATTTAATTACAGGTATTGATATAGTGCCAACATTTTAAGCAGTGCTTTACATAGTGCACATTTACATCATTCCCTGTCCTCAAGGAGCTTACAATCTAAGATCCCATCGCACATGCATACATACAGGTTAAATTTAGGCAGAAGCAATTTAACCTACCAGCATGTCTTTGGAGTGTGGGAGATAACTTGAGTACCCGGAAGAAAACCCACACAAGCACAGGGACAACATGCAAACTTCTTGCAAATGGTGCTTCCTCCAGTGCTGCAGGGAAGAAGTACTAACCACTATGCCTCTGTGCACCCAACATTGCAGTTAGACCTACTTTTTTATTTAACTTTTGCTGTTGGTTTATTTTTTTATTTTTTGTTTTTTAAACTGGAGTCGGGCTTTATCACGTTTTGTAATGCAATGAATTATATATTGGTGTTGGAATTGTTTTAGGGCTACATCACAGAATGTTGTAGGGACATGTCAGATGGTCACTTTACACAGCGGTGATTAAGGGAGGAAATGAATAGCCAACTCTCTCACTTTTCACTCTGGTGTAATTAATCTTCAGAAACCCTGCAGGTGGCATCCTCACTGTAAAATTGCTGCCATATGACAAGGGACAAGTACTTTCAATCCAGTATTACATGTCTGTTCAGCTGATCCAGGGTGCATTACAAGATAGATCTTTTCCCATTAGCTAAGTGGCAGTTTGAAAAGTACTCATGTAACATCACTCTTAAAGCCTATAAATGTGGTTTTCAAAGAAAATGTTAAGGTAAAGGATTACGTATCTGAAAACACAAGAGTTTGAGTATGATGTGTACGGCTGTCTGTGAATTTGAATTACTATAGCTAAAATATATTAGAATTCATTTTCACAATGACCCTGCCTGTGATATGCTGGCCTCTGGGCTCTCATAAAATGGTATAGCTTAAGTACGGTTAGATCTTACAAGATAATTTTTGGTGTTAATATTAGGGATGTTCAGATGCCAGTTCAGATAACAGTGCCAATATTTGCAGAAGTTGCAGCTGTGATCGGGCCCTGGGGTCCCACCACTGTCCTGAAATCATTAGTCTGTATTGGCATAGAAAAACTGTCACATGACAATAAAAAAAATGTATCAGTAATTGTATCTGTGAGTACTTGGACAATTACTTGTACTTGGTCTGGAAAATATGGTATTGGTGCATCCCTTATATATATTTATAAAACAAATCATACATTAAAACAGGGATACACAAATCCCAGGAGCCCTGTATGCTCCTTAAAAATGACAGCTGCCTCCTAACTTTTGGGTTTTTCTCTATTCTAGTCTTGGAGCTGGAAAAGTATCTGTACTTGTACCAACTACGGTATCTGAACATCCCTAGTTAATACGTCTGTTGAATGATTAAGGAGCCTCAAAGTCAGTGTCTTATTAAACATTATCTTTAATTTCGTCTTCCTGGATTTAGGATTTTTAGAGTAATATGTTTTCAGACTGGATATACTATATCTGTACCTTGAAAGAGATATAGTTCTTTTATAGATGTTATTTGCACAGATATAATTATATGTAGCGCTCACCCCCCGAAGGAGCCGCTGGATAGATTGGTCTCTGCTAACCTGTCTAGTGTTTAAGGCTCCATTGCTGCCCCAAAAGCACTTACCAGCCCTCCAGTGGTGACTGATAAAACTGATTTCCTCACCGATGTTGCTTGTTGAACTTTATTAAACAACTTTGGGAGAGAGGATTCAGGCACAGGACACACAGGATATTGCAGACTCCAAATATCAAGGAAAAAGTACTCAAAGCCTTCACAGATAGAGGACCTTTAAGCCAATATGGAAATCTGTGGTGTGAGATCCTGGCTGTAAAATACTTTACGTTATAGCTACCAGTTCATTTCAGAAATAATTCTCCATGCTTCAGTAGAGGACCAACTTCCCTGGCTCCTGATACATGCAGAAGCTACCCCATGTCATCTCCATCCTCAAGTCTCACCAACTAGGCCTCAGTCTGAGCACATAGCCCTCCCCTAAGCCGCAGCTCAGGGAGACTCATTCTGACTTCCCAAGGTTATTCTCTAAATATTTATAGCCCCTCCCAGCATGCACCACTGGTTGGTCAGGGAGGTACATACATTCCTCACTCTGATTTGCGCACTATTTTCCTACACTATTGCCAGGGTCACTCCAGAGCAGCAGGCAGAAGCAAACACTCACCAGAGGAGGATAAACAGCAGAAAGCCGAACTATCAAGTCAGGATCAGACTGACTACAGTCTGACACCATCTAAATGTAAACAGTCACTCTTGGTTCAGGCAGTGTGGCTACATTTATTTAATCAGATTTGTAATGCTGTTGCTTTCACTTTTATGCTTAAAAAATAGTTTTAGATCTGACTAACCTATACAAATCATAATGGCTTCTTTATAAATTATGTATTTTATGTAAGAAAATAATTTCCTACTTCTAATCTACTGTCTCTAGTTGGGGGACAAGTAAATGATCTCTAGGACCAGCTGCACCCAGTAAATAGTGTGCACCCCAACACACAGACTGCCTTGTGGTCTACTTACTAGTGACTAGGGCTGTGATGCCATCACCAGTCATATTATGAAAACACAGCACTATGACCCATAAAGGGCAGACAGTGCTAAACTTGATTTTTGTACAATAAAATTATATAATAAAATATACAGTAGTATTACAAAGTAGAATAAGAGGAGAAGCCTTATACAGAGATGCCTTTATATTGTGTAACCACAAATACAGTTATTTGTCTAATTTATAATGCATAATGTGCAGCAACAATTATTTCCACCATTTAGAGGCCATTGAGAACTGAAATTAACAGTCACATGGCTGAAAATACCTGTTAATATGGCAAATTATGATGGCTGTAGCTTGGTAAATAAAGCCTATTCTTTAACTTTGAACAATAGCTTATAACTATTTTTCTCACTGCAGATAATTGTAATAGTTAAACCATATTATTTATGAAGTGAGATTAAATAGTTAATGTGTTATACATGCAGAGGATAGCGCAATGCCAGTAGTCTATTTTGAATTCAGTAAAGCTCTATGGTGTTTCACTTTTGAATCTGTAATTTCTAATGAACTGGAAATTTGCAGTTTATAGGGATGTCTTGTGGGAAAAAGCATACTTTATTCCTGTGGGTAATATCTTTTAATTTATGTGTACTGTACATTCTGTATGTAGGTGATTTTTGTATACAACAGAAGGTTGATTTAGAAACATAATTTTCTTTCTTTTGTTTTAGGTCCAAACTACAACCATGTGTATTTCAGTAAGTCTAAGTGGTTTTGTAGTGCTAGGATGCCTGTTTGCACCCAAAGCCCACATCATTCTTTTTCAACCTCAGAAAAATGTTGTAACACACAGACTTCATTTAAACAGATTCAGTGTCAGTGGAACTGCAACTACATATTCCCAATGTGAGTATTTTCAAATACAGATTTACACTCTGTCTGATGCCAATTAAATATATTATGTTATTAACTTAAAAATTGTCAATATGTGATATAATTTATTCTGAGAGGCTCAGGGTTTACCCGTCAGGTTCTCACTAACGTATAGTGTATATGGAACACCTACTGCACCATGAAATATGGCAAAGCCCAAACAAATCCTCTTGCCCCTTTTGTCTGTAAAGTCCCAGCCACATAAATGTCAATGAGTCAGCCTCCATGTCTTTGACCGTGGAGACAAATTATTTCAGCTCACATGGTTTATAACAGAATTTTTTAAGCTCGTGACCCACAGAAGCTCTGCATTGTGGCTGCTGCCGCCAATTACAATTCCAACCCTAAAGAAGATCTTCATATCAAATCATATATAGTCCTGATGAAAGAGAAGTTGTCCCCAAATCCCGCTGGCTGTGTTTGATCAAATTGTGAACAATTAAAGGAGCTTTTTGACCTTTTGATTTTGCGCCCTATAGTTCTAAACATTGTGGGTGCTGATGTCAGCATAGTCCTTCTTCACTTTTAGTGAAAACCATTCTTATGTCAATATCCAAGTGCTTTTCCATCTCAGGACACATTTTCCACAGCTGTTTTTACATTTGAGTTGCCCATCTTCCTTCTTAAAGTGAATAAGAGGTTTGCCCACACAGGAAAAGCAACAGATTCACTTAACCACAGCCTTCCCTAGCAGCATACAGCATACCTTTCTTTACCTCTTTCACTCTAGATGTGTAACTGAAATATAAAAATATGGCCTAAATACACTTTATTTAACCCTGTTAATTTGTTGCCCATGGGGTGGGGAACAATGGTGATGCTCCTATGGCCCAATCAATAGCCTGGAAACTGTGAGTCCTGACATCAATTGTATGTGTGGCACATTTTGGATAAGGTTTGTGTTTGGGGAGAGATTGAAGTCTACAACATCTAGTGCTCCTAGTTAACTGTAGGTGGAGTCTCTTCTATCATTAGGGTGGGCATGAGCAGGCAGGCATATTGTATTACAAACTGTGCTACTCTAAGCTATGGGCTTCAGTGACACTACAACACAAAAAATGTAGTAAGTGCGGGTGCCTTTGACAGTCTATAGGTGACAAGGAACACAGTAGAATTAACAAATCTGGGTCTACATACATAATTTACCTTTAAATTTAGCTTTAAGTAATTGCAGTGATAAATATTTTGCTACTTACCAGAGGAGCCGCTGAATATGTTGGCTCATTCTGCCACTTTCACCAATGACCTGTCCTGTACCTGGACTCAAGTGACACCGACACACCTGGAAACAGTTTTAATGGGCTTTATTAAAAGGGGTAAACCCTTGTAAAAGGAAATTGGTGGGGTAGATATAGAAACAGATATGGACACAAGCAAACTCATATACAGGTGAATGACCCAATTAGAACCTGAATCTAAGTCACTGGCTAGTAAGAAGATTACTCAGTCCTGTCCACATCTGGGCCCTTAACTCATTGTGAGGCACTCTCTCCCCCAAATGGGAGATTTGTAATCCGCATGAAAGGACAGTCCCCTCTTGACAGAACTCCTCACAGTAGCATAAACAATAGCAACATTAATACAGTGTTGGCCCTTAGACCTTCCACAACTCCAGTGATTTTGTGAGGTCCTTCTGGTTACCCTGCAGTCATGGTGGCTCTCCCGTTCAGGGTGTTTTTGGGTGGATAGAATCACAGCCCCTGAACCAAGCGAAAGGTAACCAGCCAAGCCTTGAACCTACCTCTCCATCCTACACCTGTGTGGATCTGTGCAACTGTCTCTGTCAGTCTCACATGGTAGCACAACACTGGAACAGCAGAATACTGGAGAAATAGCATACAGCAGCGGCAGCCCTGAGCCACACACAACCTCCCAGGCCCTCCCTGGAGCCTGGATTTAGGCAGCACACGGTCCCTCTTGTCATGGCCACCCACACTTGCTGCAGGTTCCTGCCGCTCTTTCTGCAGCCCCCAATGGGCTCTTCTTGTCCAAGGCTGCAGTATCAGCCAATCAGCAGACCTCTTCCTCCTCTCTCCCTGACTGTCTATCCAAGGAACACTCTTGCGAGCGGCTTAAAAAGCTGGTAGATGACCCAGCAGGCGCTACATAAATGTATTACTTGTGCAATTATTTGTCTACTCAATTTTTCATGTAGTTTAAAATGTCTTTTCCCTTACTAAACCTAATTTTTCTGGTTAAAGCATAAAAGGCCTTTTTCACAGTTTCCTACTGTTACCTGCTCCATTTGAGTAGTGCTAAAAAGCCTTAAATCCAAACTGCGGTTTGCTAAAAGGAAAACAAGGCATCCCTGAGATCCACCGTAGATTACTGAAAACACATATACTCCATTTAAAAGCTTGGTCAGCAGGGCTCTACTAAATGGTTTATGACAAGTCATACATGTGCATATGTATGAAGTATGTACACAGGGGCAGACATAGGGGGCCTGTTCAACAAGAAATAACAACATTTTTGAGACTCTTACTACTGACTTTAATAAATAATGTTTGTCTAGTAGAGCATGGTAAGGCTCGCTCAGCTTTTATGTCATTTACAATCATTTTCAGGGATATTTTAATGCTGAACCAAAATATTCCTCCATCACACAATGGAACACTATCTAGCCAATTAGCAATTTTGTAATTTAAGTATTTAAATGCTACTTTTCTGGAAACTTTTTAAATTTGCATATAAAGGACTTGATGAAACGAATTTTCCTAATGTGTGTGTGTGTGTGTGTATGTGTGTGTATGTATATATAAATAATTTCTAGCACATGATTGGATAATTGAAGTGAACACCGGTTTACCTTATTTACTAACTTTCAGTAAGTGAATTGTGACTTTGCAAAGTGAACATCTTCTCCTCCTTTAATAAATCAACTCCTTTGATATTAAACTCTTTGGGGTTTTTTTTCAATTCAGCATAGTAGATATATTTTAATGAGTTTTTTGTTTTTTTTCAAGTGCACCATTTCTTTTATTTTTTTTTTACACTGCCCTCCCCTCATATGGATGTCTCCTGTGTGCGCTCCTGGCTAGGAACTGAGTTTAGCTGTGTGTGTCCACTGACACATACAGAGCTCGGCAAGCCATGCCCCTGCTTCTGCCTCCTTCCTCCTCACAGTAATTTGACAGGTAGCTGCAGCAGCCTATCGCTGCCCTGTCCTCTGTGCTCTCTGGATCACTCCTCTACAACCCGGAACGTTGGGGAAGCAGCGCAGATGTCTTGGAGCTGGCGGCAGTGGACACAGACCAAAGGTAAGTGTTTGGAGGTGGGGGCATTCAAGGGTACTGGAGTGTTTTTTACCTTAATGCAGAAAATGCACAAAGGTAAAAAAACACATAGGGGTCTACTCACTAAGCTGCCGTAGGCAGCCGAGTGAACAACCGACCCGAGGTGAAGTGAGCCGCACGCTGTTCGGCTATTCACTTCAGGCTGGTACGGCTGATTTCAGCTGTATATCGGCTGAAATCAGCCGTACATCGGCTTGCTTTGTGTGGCTTCGGGTCGGCCAGACATGCTCAGCATGTTCGGCCGACCCGAAGTGCAGAAAGGAGTTCGACTCAGCCGATCCAACATCTGGATCGGCTAAGCCGAACCTCCAGCAGGCTACTCGCTGCTGTTCGGCTATTCTTAAAGATGCCGAACAGCAGTGAGTGAATAGCCGAATGCCCGCGAGCGGCAACCGGCTCGGCTATTCTGCCCGGTACCTCCGGGCAGTAGAAAAAAAAATAGAAAATGATTGTGTGGAGCTAGCAGTGACATCTGCTGCCGTCAAAAAAATAAATAAAAAAAAAACACCATAGGAATGCATAGCTAGATTCCTATTGGCTATTTCACTTTGCAATAGCCAATAGAAAACTAGCTATTGCACTCGCCCTCTGCTGCTGTCAATCACCAGAGGGGGACCTGATGGAGAACTGCAAGCTGGGCGGATCCAGACATTGTAAGCTGTAGCTTGCAGTATACTGAGCTTAGGGTGACGGGAGAAAGCTAGTTTGTGTCCTCCCGTTACCCTTAGAAGAACTATGGGGAAAAGCCTTAACCCCCATAGTTCTCCTTTAATAAAACAGCAAATATGTTTTAATAGCCACATAAAAAATTTTGTGAAAGTGTATGTACAGCCAACAGGTCTTCTTTGGGGATTGGCTTGGTTTTTACGCACCTTTAAAAAGGTATAGAAAACTGTTACCTAAATGACCTAAACCTAAAAATTATCTAAATTAAATGTATTTCTTTTTTTTTGCTTTTGATTGAGTAAGGGGAAGGGTTAAAACCTCTGTTGGCTGAATGCTTGTGGTCCATGTCCCATGTACAAGCTTTCCCATCACATCCTGTGCTAGAGACAGAAAAGGAATCAAGAAGAAATCTGTACCAAGAGTGGGGAATCCAGCTTTTAGACAGTTGTCGCTGGAACAGGTGTTCCCACTGGAAGATTTCTCCTTACCTGGCCACAGCTCTAAAATGTTGTATTGCCCCTCACTCTCTGTCTCTGTGACAATGGTCACAAGTACAAATAGAGAGGGTGCATTTCGCCAGCAGAGACACAGACAGCAATAAAAAACTTGGGGGGTTTCTAACTCTTCTCTACCGTATTCAAAAATAATTTAAAAAAATTGGGCTATGCATACACTTAAACTAACACTAAACTCAGGAATTACATTTTACAAATGCATTCATGTTCCCCAACTATTAACAAAACTGTATCTTATTTGTGTATCACTCAGCTGTAGATCCTCAAATCATCTCTGAATTCATGCTGACACTGTCCAACCTTCTGGAGCGTGGCTACTTTTGTTCCCCATGCTCCCTGTGTGTGTTGTAAAGTAGCCATCACTCCAAGATCACTCCTGTGATAGACTAAAATCTCAATATAAACTAGTAAACTAAAAGTAAGATTGTAGTCCATCATAGGAGTGAGCTTGGAGCGGTGACTACTTTACAACACACAGACCATGAGGAACAAAAGTAGCCACCATCCAGAAGGAAGGACAGTGTCAGCACCAATTCAGAGATGATTGAGGATCTAGAGCAGAGTGATACACAAATAAGATACATTTTGGATACTAGTTAAGGTACTTGAATGCATTTTTAAGATTTAACTCCTGATTTTAGTGCCACTTTAAGTAAGATGGGAGACCCCAAAGAGGCACAGGGGTCCACCAATCTGTTAACACACTAGAGGAGGATGTCTTGTACTTATTCCGCTTCCAACAAAAGGAACTCCATAGAACAAATTATGAAGATGAACAGGGCTTGAAAAATTTGGCGGTGTCTCACCAGTCAGTCAAAAATTTCACCAGTCAGCATGACCGGACTATAGCCTTGCAATATATGTTAAAAAATGTTGGGGACAGATAGAGCTTTGTTTTGTGACCCCATAGGGGGTTATTTGTTTTTACTTTATAATGAAAAAAGTACCATAAATGTAAAAAAAAAAAAGTTTCCCTATGTTATAAAACATTTATTCTTACCCATATTTTTAGTACAACATAAAAGTCGGGGTCACGTCGTGTAAATAGACACCAAACATGTCAAGCCTTAAAATTGCGTGCGCCCGCAAAATCGCAAAAAACGCCCATACGCGACGATTAAAATGCTTTTACTGCTCATCAGTTTAGTGTTATCAGTGATTGATGGCTCTAGAATTATTGCTCTCACTCCGACATTTGCGGCGATATGTAACATGTGCAGCACAATAGGCGCAATCGTCGTTTTCGCACGTAGGCGCACCCGACGCATATCTACGTGTGTATGTGGGGGGCGGGGGACTTAAAAAAATGTTTTCTTTTTTAATTTTTTTTATGCTTCTTTATTTATTTTTTTATGATTCTTTAATTTTTATATTACTTTTTTTTTAACACAACTTTATTGCTATTACATGGGGGGCTAAGAAGCCCCCTATGTGATAGCTAATTTGCATGACAGGTCCTCTTAATGGAGACATCAGGGGTCTCCAAGGCCCCTAAAGTCACCTAAGGACCCCCAGAGAAGCTGATGAGGCAGAGATCGGCTTCATCAGCTTCTCTAGCTGGAGAGTGACACTGAATGCAGGAAGTGATGTAATATACATCACTTCCTGCATTCGGGGACTGAGAGGAGATCAAAGGGAGTTTGTGTACTGAACTCCCTTTGATCTCCTGTCACAGAGCCGTGCCGGTCCCGGCCGCATCGGGGCACAGCGGATCTCGGGACCGGCAACGGCAGTGACAGCTTCTGACACAAGCGATCGAGCGTCTCTATAGACGCTCGATCGCTTGACTGTAAAGCTCCCGGCCGGCCGTGTAATTACAACGGCCGGCCTGGAAGCTGCTCGTCGGGCTCCACTGTCTGCTTGTCACAGACGAGCAGACGAGTGGATTTTCGAGCCCTGAACATGAAAAACTGCTACAATGGAATAAGCGATGCATTGCTTCTCATGATTCTGATAGGCTTTATGAATGGACTCATTTAGTCTCAGGTTTTGGCAAGCACAGAAGATTCCTGCATGAAGAATCCTGTCAATAACTATTTTAATTTTGAACTACCTTAGCAGAGTGTTTTCTTTGAAATCTTTATTATTACTCTGAAAAGTACCAGTATTGGAAATTTCAATCGATGAAAAGGGGCTAACCTAGAGAGACAATAAAACCATTATGTTGCAAGCACAATAAGGCAGTTAATGAGAAATATCACAGTAGAAGCAGGGTTTGTAATAAAAGTATTTTCTCATAAAGTCTACCAAAATCAGTCTTGTCTTTATGGACCATGCTAACTTGGGATATTTGCCTGCCTTTGCTGTAATAGCAGCTATTTGTGCTAATAAATAACAGAGGCTGACTTATTTACACTGCACCTAAACTGTAATTTATATTAGTAAATCACCATCTCAGTGCAGCCATCAATAAGTAACTGCACGTATCTTTATTACGGACCAATAGTCAAGCACAGGGGGCAGGAGGGGGTGGACTCAAATGCTCACTTCTGGGGTGCTTTAGAACAGCGGTCGCGAACCGGTAGTCCGGGAGAAATATTTTGGTGGTCCCCGGGCCTCTCTGATGCCCTGCAGGCTGGGCCGTCATTGAAGCGGCACGGAGGCTCCGGGACTGCCTCTAAGGAGACTACTAGTGATAAGTACAGATACATCTGAGCACCTGCACTGATATCATGCAATTACTAGGTTAAACTCTAGTGCAGCTATGCCTTAAAGAGGTACTGACACTTTCAACAACCAGGGCAAAGTGGCAGTGTCTGAAGATAGGAAAATCCTCCCCAGGCTTTTAAACTTACCACGTCAAGCCACTCCCTTGCCATCTGCAACAGCATCCCAGCCTACTTAATGTGTGGCAGCTTAGGCGGGCAGAAATCCTTATGGCAACCTCCCCACATGTGGCAGTGTTCAGGCTTAGTCTTTGGCCACTCAGACTTAAACAGGGTCACATGGGGTTAGTCTTGAGAGGGGGCTTGGTTCATATAACTTCTTGGGAGTGGGAAGCGATCTGCAGAACCTGTTTTTTTTGCCCTGAATTTCAATTTTGAATTTCCAAACTTAAAGTCCCATTGAAATGAATAGGTATCTGAGCCAGGGTCCAAAAAAGTGTACATTATATAGCAGCAAATGATGATAAATTGTCCAGAATGGTCTGGGAAGCTCTTGGTACAAGGCATACAAAGATAGAAGAGTGGGATCTTGTGGCACTGGCAGTCAACAGCAGAAGCAGATATACGTATGAAAAGCCTTTTTAGAATTCAAATTGGCAAAAAATTGAATTGGCTGAAATTTGGGTTTGGCCTATAACATTGGAATTCAAATAATTCGGTCTGAATCTAACATAATTTCAGAATCAACTATATTAATAAACAGCACAAATCTTTCCCAAACAATGCGTTTACTTTGTATATACTGTTGCTCTTAGATCTCTGGTCCTGTTATTAGTGCCTACACATGATCAGACTGTTGAATGACTACATCAACAATCTTTTCCATATAACCTAATTATATTCTCCATAACCTTAGCAAATCTGATGGTTTTCCACAGACACCCAGCAGAATCAAACGTTTAGATACAAACTGTCTGCTTAGATAAAAATGTCACTTGGTGGCAGGACACATAATGGAATTGACCCAACTATCCATACTTCAGATCTAATATTGTGAAAAGTGAATGAAACTTGTCATACCAATGGTTTATTGTGTTTTATTTTTGTCTTTTTCTTCTGTCTTTCAGCTTCAGCCAGTGCACACTATACACCGACCATTTGCAATGGAGGAGAAGTGCTAGACTCCACTACATCTTCCTTATAATCGTTCTAAACATTTCAGTGCAATCGGTTTTTAGACTGTTAGAATATATTATGCACTTGCTGTGCAGTCCTGTCTTTTTTTTTAGAAGAAATATTTTTGAGGACTGTATAAAATGCTGTTCTAGAGGTTCAATGAATACTGTTATCCACAGATCAAGAGACCATGTAAATAAGCTTTCATTTGAATTCTCTACACATGTCGCTGTGTCTACCAAGTAATGATGGCATTGACCATTTCAGTGTCCGGGTCCTGTCATTTTTTATTATGTTTTTGTAAGCTGAGTTAAGGTTGTATCTAATGTTAACATGCATTTTAAGTTACTTATAGTTACAGAACATGTAACTGGTTGTTTTTGCACAACTGCAGCAGTATTAATGTAAAGAAGCCAGTAATAAATCCTTTATAATAGTTTCCAGCATGTATTTCTTGGATAAGAATATTTTTAATTGTATTTTTTTTGCACTTTCTAGGGAATTTCAAGAGAGACGATGAAGTAAACTGAATGTATGGCTTCCCCGTTGTCCTGCAATAGACATGCCAAATAAAGTTATAGTGATACTCATAATACATAATACATGAAGCACATTTACACAGTACAAAGGGAAGTGGATCACAATCACTCTCTCTCTTTTCTATACACCACTTCTCTTTGAACTGTTGTATTACATATCCTGGTATGTGCATCTAGTATCAATGAGCTGCCAGACTTATCAAACATACATTCCTTTAATACGCATGTATGCATCAGTTCATTTCGAATTTTCACATAGTCCTGTTGTCACGAATGCAACAGACTGTGTAGAAATAATTGGGGTAATTTAATATAGAGATAATCTAGGTGTTAAGTACAGGTACCCATATGCTCTTGTGGACCTATAGTGGCATTATATCATGCCTTTAGCCCTATGATGGAGTTCATTTGCTGGTTCAGGCACCTAGTGTATATTACTCAGCACTGAACACGCTCTCCAGTACATGTATCACTTTGGAAAGGTAAGAAAGTGAGATTGTGATAAGAAAGACAGAAGAGCCAGAATGAGGTAGGTATAAAATAGTTTATAGCTGTACATGTGTATTGTCAACTTGTTCTGTAAGTGTTCCTAGCAGGTGAAAAGAATGCTTCACCTTAAAAGGGACCTAAACTATGGAAGTTGTGCCCAAAAGGCAGAGAGCAAAGGACCAGTCAGTATTGTTTTTAGACTCCCCATAGCTGATGTTTTCCTCATTGCTGACTTACCATGCGATTTTCCACACTGTCTGTGTGTGGAGGTGGCCATCTTGTTAGAGAAGCAGAGCTTTGCTTTGTCAGGGCTGCCCCTGATAATTGCAGATCTAAGGCCTTGTGGCCACAGAATGAATGAAGTAAAAACAGGGAGATGCATGCATTGCATGTTATTATACACAGATTCCGCTTCAGGAAGCAGCATTGCAGTGATGTCACAAAATCTCACTCCAAATCTCGAGTGACGAAGCAGCAGTGCCTCTCACACTGCAGATATATAGCTATGAGACTGTAGGCACAGGAATGCCAACCACACTCACATGACAGGAAGTACACTGTTATTTTGCAGGAGGAATTCAAGCCAAAAAGTAATTCTATCGGAGTGCTGCTTAGGCAAAATTTACATATCTAGATGTTCCCTATAACATAGCAATCGCCCCCTTTTTAATTCAGGTCCACTTTTCAAAACGTTCCCGTCACATGGGTCTACAGGCATTCTAAATTAACATTTGCATTTGATCTGTTCAGTATATGATCCCAATTTTATTGTTAAACATAATTCGTGAACCTTTAGCAAACCTCTTTTAACACCGCTCCCTTATTCTGCTCATTTTTTTTTACTGCAATATTCAAATATATCTTCTATTTGGGCAGATATGTCTGCCCAATAAGGAGCCTGTGCAAAAAATAGAACATAGGACTACATAAATATACATTTCATTTTATACCTTTATTAACTATTCAAATCACCAAACATTAATTTACTACATACTGTATAAATGTGTAAACCCCTCAAAAACCTATCTGTGAAGGTTCTCATTCTTTCAGGTCATGGTATATCTGTAAAAAAAAAAATCAAGGCAACTTGACTTCCTGTATTTTTATTGCTGTAATATTCAAGAAAAATACAGCAAATCCAGTTGCCTTGATTTATCCTCAAAAACCTGGGCATTGGAACTGATCAAAAGATGAACAACTGAATATGCAGAGGTTCCATTCAATCAAGCTGAGATACAAGCTGCTAAATGTGCAAATGTCAGAATTTTTTGTAAACTTAAAGTGACATTAAACCCTCAGATTTAAACCAATACTGTAATGTGTGCCTTACTGTAATCCGTGGTTGTTTCCCTTCTCTTTGCTGCTCTTTCCTTTTAAATCCTCATGTCTTCTCATGCTTGGGGAGAACTTTCCTTTTCAGCTCAGGGCCTCTTCCTGTAGTGCTGGCTCAGGTTACAAGCCTATACAAACGTATACACCGACACCATGTATCCATTCCTGAGACAAGGTAGTCTGCTGCAAAACAGAAGATCTGCAGAGCATGAGAACAGATACAGATTTAAAAGGAAGAGCAGCAAAGAGAAGGGAAACAACCATGGATTACAGTATTGGTTTATGTTAAAAAATCTGAGGGTTTAATGTCACTTTAAGCTCTCTCAAGCCTATCAAACCACCCTGATGGTCCTTTAATGTGATTAATGGCCGCAATTGCCTTTAGGGAAGCTGTTAAGGTGAGAGGGATGAGGCTATGCCTGATTTTTTGCAGGAACAAAAAATCATATTTGCATATTAGGTCAGCTTCCTATACCTCAGAATCTTAATTCTTTTGACCATGTGGTTTTTACTGAAATAATTTATATCATATTCTGAGTTTGAATTGCCCAGGATTGTAAGACATTTGTCATCCACTCACTGCAGTCATTATGCTGTTTGCTTGTCTTTGTTAGTTCTCTTTAGAGAATCATACCCATTTCCTACCCATTTATAGCTCAGTGGTACATGCCGTTTGGGGAATGTCGTCAATGAAAAGTAATGAAAAGTAAAGGGCTCATAAACAAAAGCTAGATCTTGGTTTCTATAAAATATTTTTTTTAAAGGGACAGTCCATCCAAAAGTGATATTTTGGTTATATGGTGAGTATGAAATCTTAGTTTCCTAGTTCCAGTCTCATCTCTCATCTACTCTGGAGTCTCACATCTTCTGCTATAAAAGAGATGTTTCTGGGGGGTTCCTACTTATACCGTTGTATTCTACATAGTATAAAATAAATTAACAAAAGCAGGAGGAGAAGACCTTCTTGTAATTACCATGGCAAGTGTACAGACATTGGTATTCAACCAGAGAACTATCAGTACAAAGTCCCTCAATGTCATAAGATATTGTTAAGTGATTTAACTCTCCATAGCAATTTTGGGTGGACTGACATTAACTGATGTAGATGTGAAGGTTATAAGCTCACTTTATATGTACTGAATATTGACATATTCATAAATGATGGTAGGGTAGAATGTATTTTCTTTCCACATTTGACATCCTCATCTTATAGAGGACTAACTTTACCATTTGTTGGTGAATATTATAAGCAACTTTTTTATGTTCATTTTTTGTCTTTGATTTACAGCTCCTATAATGTCATTGTTTGGGACATGTTGTTTTAAGAGGTATATACATTTTTGCAAGTGCCAATGAAATGCATTAATTGATCACGGTCTGGACATTATGTAGTGCTTCATTCGATTATGAATGGAGATGGTGACTTCTAGTCCTACAACCACATAAGCACACACAGGCATAAGTCAGGGATTGAAGCTGCTTTGAAAAAGACAATGAAGGCACAGAGGTCTACCTACCAGTACCAGAAAATATGAACTGAAAGCACAAGACTACTGAGACAGAAAAAAAGACTTATTAGAGGACTCATAAGGAAAAGCACAAGCATTCTTCCTTGGCTATTTTATACTAAAATGGATAATGTGAAAACATATGTATGGTTTATTCTTCATAAACCTGTGTATTGACAGTTCTACCTTTGATGAGCACCTAAGCTCAAGGATTTTTGTTTTTAGAGAATATTGTTAAGACAAACAATGTAAATCACTGTGGTCACATTTATCAAAATTTGTGTACTAAAATATAAAGGAGATTCAACTATTATACCAGAGGTCTAGGCTGTCTATTTAATATAATGTACTGAACACATATAGTTTAGAAACTGAATAGTTGTTTGATAAACTAACAATAATAATAGTACAATACTGGAAAGCCACATAAATTATTCTGAGTAGGCACTTTTAAAAAAAAAAGTCCTGTATCTTGGTATTTATGAATGGCAGTGCTGCTTGTCTTGTATAACAATCAGAATGTTCATTTTAATTCTTCCAATAAATATTTTTATGTTTGACTAAATGTATTTATTTTCTCCACATAACAAGGGCTGTTTCATGTTTGCCTTGCATGTGGTCCCTTCTTCTTCTATTTCTGCCCACACTTTCTCACAATTAGGAAGGTGAGGTGGTGGTATCATACACAACCCATATATAAGGCTTTGCAGGAGAACTGTAGTTGACCTTTGCTGAACGTACTGTGACTCGACAACTCTTCTCGGTTCTACTCAGTACCATAACAAGTCTCAGCCATGCTTACTGTGCATTGGGGCTGTTGTTCTCACACTCTGGGTCATCCCTTATGTGCTATTAAGCAAAATAACAAATCTACAGTATATATCATTATTGTTTTTTGGGAGCATTTGTCCATTTCAAAAATGTAATCATAATCACCATTTATAAAGAAAGCGCAATAAGAAACAACATTCTTGAGTCACCTCTACCCATGATAACTATATTTAACACTTTTGACTTTGAGCGAGGTTGCATTTAGTTTTTATGTTTATCCCCCCAAAAACTTCTCATAGCACAAGTATATTCTTATCAACCTTAATTCGTTTTTAGTCATGGTGTTTCCGTTTTAAGTAAAAGTTACCAAGGTGATCGCAGATGGAGGCTTTAGACCAAATCTAAGAACGTGAAGTGGGATATCTCTATTTTCCCTTATACCTGGAAGTTAGTATTTTCTTATGATGATCAATTCATGTACTCGCCCTTATTTCACTCTAACGTTAATGGCTATTTGCACACTTTTATAGACAAAGTGGCAATGCCCCACCCCAATGATGTGACACATATACAGTACTTT